TTATCCGTATTTGGGACTTCTACTTACGTGTCATCTTGAAAGCTACTGTGTTCCTGTAGTTTCTTAAATAGCTACAGTCGGCAGTTAAACTGGCTGTATCCTGTCGCAACTATCTACATTTTTCCCCCTTTTATATAGGTGCCAGCTTCTTTTAGCCTATAGCTAAATTTCACACATTCTGTTTTCCAGGTTGTGGGCCCTCTTGCAAGCGTTTCAGCATGTTACCCCCCCCATCCTTACCAGCTGTCCCAATGGGGGGGTGATCGGGCTCATATCTCCTCTTCAAAATGGCGTTGGTATGGCCTCAGTTCTACATATGAACCTGCGTGGAGATTAACCCCCTTTTTCTGACCCTTCAAGAAGAAGGTCTATGAATAAGAGCACTGTGATTCTGCCTTACATTATAGTTCTCTGTTATTGTTTTTTTCTTCCTTTTTCAGCTCAGACCAGAAGCTGAAACATGCTTGAGGAGTGTCTTCTTGTCCATAGCTGAAAATAATTCTTCACCAAAGATGGAACAGTAGCCTTGTGAGATTTGTCCAGAGCCTGTACATGTAATTCAGACTCCATGAATGGAAGCAACATTGTAAATACATTCTTTGGTTTGAAAACTGCACCGGAGAAGAAAGATAAAATGGAGGTTCAAAGATCAGGCGTTGGAGCAACAAAAGGCTCTCCTGCCATTCAACTGAAGAACAGTGCAGTCTTCTGGGAAAGAGACAGCTGGAAGGTCCTCCATGAGGACACCATCAGCTCAGATGTTCAGCACTGGTGCTTCAGGAATTTCTGCTACCAGGAGTCCAAGGGACCCAGGGAGGTTTGCAGCCGACTTTACCAGCTTTGTCACCAATGGCTGAAGCCAGAAAGGAATACAAAAGCTCAGATGTTGGATCTGGTGGTCCTGGGGCAGTTTCTGGTCATCCTGTCCCCAGAGATGGAGAGCTGGGTGAGGGAATGCAGAGCAGAGACCTGCTCCCAGGCAGTAGACTTGGCCGAAGGCTTCCTCCTGAGCCAAGCAGAGGACAAGGAGCTGGAAAAGAAGCAGGTGAGAGAATTTCATCTGGTAGCTAACTGCCCGGAGTTGCTCTGAGGTGAGATGGGCGGTGACAAATTTGAAATATAAATAAATAAATAAGCTACCTTTTTTTTGGTTCGTTTGAGTCAGCATTGACTCCTGATGAGTGCCCGGACAAGTCTCTGCAGTTTTCTTGACAAGGTTTTTCGGAAGTGGTTTGCCTTTGCCTGCTTCCTAGGGCTGAGACTGGCCCAAGGTCACCCAGCTAACTTTGTGCCTAAGGCAGGACTAGAACTCATGGTCTCCCGGTATCTAGCCTGGTGTTTTAACCACTACACTGAACTGGCTCTCTGGTAGCTACATGGGGTGATCATATTTCTAGCCTGGCCCATGATTTCTTAAATCCCTTGACAGGCTTTTCTGGAACTTAAGATACTAGGAGGAGATTTCATTTCCTCTTGGAAATAGTTCTACAGGAGGAAGGGAAAATCCAAGCCTATTTCCACCTCAAAATGGATCTGAGAGGCTCTAGAGTTGGAGGGAGAGACAAGAACTCTCCTTCTCCCCTCCCCACTCACTGTGTTCTTGACCTAACCCCTTCCTCCTTTGCTTCTGATGTAGGAATAAAATGAAGAGTTTTCCTACTAACTGTCCCTCAGGTTAGGAAATAAGTACAAGTGCTCTAAATGTTTGCTGAATGTTGATATTTTGAACAAGATACAAACAGATAAACAATATGGGTCACTTTGTTTAAACTATTCTTATTCACTATATAGCAAATAAATGTTTTATGTTCTATACATGCTGACACCTACATTCTCTTTATAGTCACAGACAAAATATATAGAGACAACATGTGCTGGGATGACTCCTCTGATTAGGGTCTCCATCAGGGAGGTGAACCCTGTTCTGATAGGCGTCACTGACTCTGGAATCCCCTCCTTTCTGCCAAACATGAATGACCTGTGATCTGTTTAAAAATATCAATCGTTTTGATTAACCTCGCAAACAACCTAGAGTTACTTCACTGGTTATAGTCATGTCCAAATTGCTGAATAAATAAAAGTGATTCTTTTTTGTGATGATCAGAACCTTTTGGTCAAAGAGGATTCTGCTTTTCCAATTGCCAGCATTTTGTAGGAAAGAAAGAAAAAAAGAAGCAAAGTTACATTATTCTAAATTTGCCAGTAGTAGAAAGAATTAGTTACAAAATAAAGCAAACTTTAATATAAGGCAAAAAATTACTTTTAGTTGGTTTAAATATAGCTTAGCCTGCATTATTAGATGAAATCCATACAGACTTAAAAGTTCAAACTTGACAAGTAATTAGAGACTAGAAGAAATGAAGTGTGTGAGTTACCCTTCAGCTACAACCATAATGTGCTTAGGATATGTCCCTTCACCATAAGCATGTGGACATTGACCACAAGGCTTGTGGACCTTAATCAGTAGGCCAATGGGCTGCCCATCATAATGGGCAAAAAACAAAACAAGTCCATAAATCTAGATCACAACACTTCAAGAGGAGCTTTGAAAAACCACAAAGAAGAAAATGCAACAAGTCTGACGAGAAGAAAAGGAAGAGAACTGATAAACAGAAAAGGGGGACAGAGGCATCTAACAAAATGGCAATTCACTTAACTGGAAATAATAGCCAACATGAAGCAGAATCCCAGAGTTGTATTACTCTAACGTGCAAGAGGGTCATCGGGAGATTGGGGAGGACTAGAAGGAGAGGGTAGAGTCATGGAAAGCAAACAAGTGTAGGCAAGTTCATCAGAAAATGGATCATAAACCAGACCCCTAAGGCCAGGGTTTTCTCACACTGGCTGGTCTTTCAGGTGAAGCAGCTCTTGATGGAGGTGGTCCCAGCATGTCCTGAGGGAAGGGGAGATCTGTCCAATCCCTTTCAGGATCCACCCTTGAGGAGGATCTCCCAAGAAGATCCAGTTCAGGTCACCTCATCATGTAAGTGAAGGTTTCTTCTGAAAGCAGTGGGGCTTGAATTGCTTCTATTCACAAGTTTCTTTATCCTGGAGCTGTGTGCTAGAATGGCATTTGTGTATAGCATCCCCAGGATCATATTTAGAATTTCTTAAAATACTCTTGTTTTGCCCTCCTTTGTCTCACTCTCAGGGAACAGAAGAGCGTTGATGGAAATGTGTGAAGCATTTATTTGTGATGAAGCAGAAACAGCAGGTGTGCCTCAAGCTCAGGTAAGGGGCTTATTTGAGGGGAGGGAGACGAGTTTTGTTACGTGGCTCACTACACAACCTGCTCCTTAGCAAGGAGTGTTCAGAGTAAGATTCAGCTATCTGCCAATCATTCAGCTTGGCCTGCCTTTCAAGATTGTTGTGGAGATAAAAAGAAATAACCTGTAGACTCCCCTGAGAGACTGGAAATTTCAGGAAATAAAATTTATTTAAGGGAAGAACTGAGTACTTTCTTATGCTGTGGTAGGTTACTGTAACTAAAATAAAGTTTTAAGTACCTCATATGGATGGAAAAATACCAAGTTCTTTTGCATTGTATTGAAGTGCTCAAAGCAAATTAAATACAATCAGAGAATTTAAACACTAAGGACAGCATAGAACCTACTACAGAAATATAGAAACACATCAGATTCAAAATTACTAATGCAAAATATGGATTTCATACGTAAAAATCTAAAGTCAAAGACTAAATAATTGGTATAATAAAAATATTGCCTTTATACCCTTTTGTAGTTATTTACTCAGTTTTTTTCTTTTTAAATGTTTTCATAAATAGTAATGATATGAAACTTGTGAAATAGAAAGATGTCAGTCAAGTCACTTAGGACTTCTAGGACATAAGTATTTTGAATGATGCCAGGAAACAATTCCTAATATGTGCATCTTGTTTTTGATTATGTACCATCAAGTTAGGGTTGACTTTTTTTTTTTCCAGGAAAATCTGTCCCCAGCCTGGTCTTTTAGGTCTTCCAACAGCCCACCTGTGGCGGCTATAGGATGCCTTCTTCTTCTCTTCCCTTCCACCTTTCCCAGCAATACATACTTCTCCAGAGAGCTAGGTCTTCACATAATGTGTCCAAAATATAATTCGTGCCTCCAGTGAGAACTCTGGCTTTATTTGTTCTGTAATGCATTTGTTGGTTTTCTTGACTATCAAGGAGTTTTCTCCAACACTGATGTCAATACACTGTCTATCCTGCTTCTTCAAAGTCTACCTTTCGCTTCCATAGTGTCAGAGGGAAAACCGTTGCCTGTATGATTCTGACCTTAGTGGGTATAGACACATCATGGCATGTGAACATCTGATGAGCAGGCTATTGACATTTCTTTCTCCAATTTCAAAACTACCCTCATCTTCCAATCTGGCTTCCCTCAATATATATTCATTATATAAGTTGAATAAACAAGAGGAAAAGAATACAGGCTTGTCTCACTTTTTTGCCAACCTGGAGCCAGTCTGTTTCTCCATGTCCTGTCTGGAGTGTGGCTTCCTGGCTTGCATATCGGTTTCACATGAGGACAATGAGATGTTCTGGGATTCCCATTTTTCTAAGCACATTCCACAGCTTGATATGGTCAATACATTCTAAGGCCTTTCTCTTATCAATGAAGCACATACTGACTTCTTTTTGGTATTGTTTGTCTTTCTCAATTATCCAGCTTGCATCAACAGTAATGTTTCTTGTTTCTCGGCCTTTTCTAAACCCAGCTTGAACACCTGGCATCTCTCTTTCCATGTTGGGCTCTAATCTGTGTTGGATCCTAGAATGTGAAATTAAGGATATTGTACAAGAGCTTGCACTGTTAAGTCTCCTTTCTTTGGAATTGATATGTAGGCTGACCTCCAATTTTTTGGCCACTGTGCCTTTCTCCATATTTACTAGAACAGTTTGGATAGAACCTTGACTGATTCTTCTTCTGTTGCTTGCCGTATTTCTGTAGATACTCATCAATTTCTTCCAACTTGGTAATGACCAGAGTGCTGATTTAACTTTGTCTTCCAGTACTAGAGGTTCTTGTAAGTAGGAAATAATCTTGGATATTGACATTTCTACTATTCAGAATTTCTATACAGAAATATCTGTCTATTGGTATCCTTTAGCATACCAGTTTGAGATCAGAGTCTCCTTAAAGAGTTTGGAGATCTTTTAGAAAACTTTCCTTATTTTTCCTTATCTGTTTCCATTTTTGTCATCTTTATGAATGTTGATATATTATTGTTTCTTGCCTTTTCTCTTTGAAATATTTTGTCAAGATCCTGCTCCTTTAAGCAGCTTTGCTGATTCATTCTGGACTAATAGGAACTCTCCAAATCGATCTCTTTTACTTGGATACAATTAAGCTGCAACTAAGCATCAATGTTGGATAGACCTTCCAGCTGAAATAATTATTTGGACATCCAGACCCAAAATGAGCAGATGTATCCTGCAAGAAGATGTCCATTTGCTCCGTTGCAAAGTTCTGCTTTTGCTTTTGTTAAAGAAGAGATAGAAGTTACAAAACCTTTCTGGGGCCTGTCTTGAACATTTTCTTTCTCTTTTAGGGCTCCGTTTCCTTTGAGGAGGTGGCCATGTATTTTACGGAGGAGGAGTGGGCACTGCTGGATTGTGGCCAAAGAGCCTTGTACAGGGAAGTCATGCTGGAGATTTCTAGGAATGTGACTGCTCTGGGTAAGGATCCTCTTTATTAATTAATTCGGAGAAGGTCTTTTCTTTAATATAATTTTACTATTGTAATTAAAATTCTTAAAAAAAATAAAAAATAAAAAACTAATACAAACTAGAGAAAGAAGAAAATGGAAAGAAAGAATAAAAATTGTGGGGAAAAGAAAAAAAAGAAAAAAAGAATATTAGAAAAAGAGAAATATATAAAGAAGTGACTTCCAACCTTCCATTACAACCAGTGTAAACAAATTTAGTAACTCTTCACCTCCTGTAAGGTTACAAACAGATATCTCTTCATCCCATATCCCATCCCTTATCCATAAGCAAATTCATAAAACATCAACTTTTCAATTCTGGTGTCAGCAAAAAGTCCATAAAGGGTTGCCAGAACATTTGTAAAAATGTCTTATTTTAACCTTGATCAAATAAACCAATTTTATAGTCCTTCCTTTTACTTCTAACAGTTTTAATCTTTAATTCAATCAAATATTGCCGTAGGATTTGATTTCTCTTCAATTCTTCTTTATCCCATCGCAGAGATTTCTTCAAGGCTTACTAAGCCTCTTTTGTAGATCCAATAAGAAAACATTTCCCAAGTCATTCTCTTGGTTTATCATTTGTATTTCCCTTTTAATTTTAAAATCTTCAGCCAGTTTCTTTTGTATGTCCAATAAAGCATCCTTTCCAATCATTCTCTTGGCCTGTCATTTGTAGTTCCACATTCTGTACTTTCCTTGTCTTGTCAGATAAAATTTGTTCCACATCTGTCATTCCTTCATTTACATCTTTTAGACATAGTCTATCCATAGAAGCAGACTTCATTACTGACAGTGTTTATATTATAGTTACTAATTTCTGGCTCCATTCTTCAAAGATATCTTTTAATATTTCTGATGTTATAACAATTTGTGTCATTTTGTAATCCCAGTGTTACCTGACATCACAAACGTATGTATTTTTTTTCTTCCACTTAAAATCTTTAGACCCCTCTAGTGCCCAGTTTCTAAAATCATCACTCATCTTTTGTTATGACTTGCAAAAGCCAAGATAGTCAAAATAAGTCTGTTTCCCATGAGGAGCTGTTTATTCCAAAATTACTATAAGATTTTACTATACTATTTTTACTATAAGGTCAATATTCTAAATTTATCTGGACCCTTAATCCATTTATAACTTTCGTAGATCAAAATCTTATTTAACTTTTTGCTATTTATTTCAAATTCTTTAAATTCTTAAGCTTATAATTAATTTTTCTTTTGTTCAGAGTTGCAGATAAACTCGCCTGATAAAGACTTTTCAGACTTGTTGTTCCGAACGTCTCTAATAGCTTTAAGATGGTTAATAGGCAATTTCCAAAAGTGATTAGGAAGTGAGGTTTGCAAACTTAGTGTCCTTTAAAAGGGTCCACCGTTGTGAGCAAGATGGCTGATCCTGTTGTCTCCCAGTGCTCAGAGCCATGGAAAACTGCTGTTCTGTGGTCTCCTTGTGAGGAGCAGCTATGTGGAGCACATGTGGGTGATCTCTGGACCTCTCCTTATCCTGAGAGGTTCCAAGGAACCAGTCTACTTATTGGTTCCTGGGTCTTTGCTGTGATTGTTGTCTCTGCTTTCACAGAGCCGTCTTCAGTTTGCCATACCTCCCCTGGAAGTCATTAATTAATTAGAGGAAGGTCTTTTGTAGTTGGAAGTAACCAGGGAGCATCTCCTGGCTTGAAGGAGCAGATGTTCTGTTTGTCCAAAGAGGGGAGGAGCGATTGGGAAATACCTGCTTAGGTGTGGGGATGGGATCCTTTCCCATCTAGAATGTGAGGATGCACCTGAGCGAGTCTTCCAGTTCCTCTCTAATCTGAAGTTATTAGGGATCTTTCCCTTAACCATATCTTCTAACTGACAGTCATAGAAAGAGGGGAATCGGGATGGGAGCCTGGGGTCCCAAAGGCAGACAGGAGGGAAGACCCTCCGATTGAAAGGGGCCATTTCCAGCCAGTTGAAAGCATCCTCCCATTCAGCAACCCTTCCCCCAAAACCACTGAAGACGAGAGACCCATATTTGCAAAAGGCATCAGTGACAAGCAGTCACTGTTTTCCTATTTGGGGGAGAGAGGGAGGAAAAGAGAGAGGGAGAACTAGAAAATGGGATGTGATGAATAAATGAGCATAGAGCAAGGGCCAGGAAACAAATAGCTGGGCTTCCCCGAATCTGACTAGCAAGTGCTGCCTCTTTGCCTCTTGTAGGATATAATAAACCCTCAGCTAGATGCCCCCAAAGCTTGACGCCTTGTTGTTGTTGTTGTTGTTTAGTCGTTAAGTCGTATCCGACTCTCCGTGACCCCATGAACCATACTGCGCCAGGCCTTCCGGGCCTTCAATTCCTCCCTCCGTTTGCTCAGCTTCATGGTCCTTGCTTCTGTGAAGCGATC